GCGGCGCCTTGTTCTGGTCACCGTCGTTGGATTCGCTTGGCCAAAGCCCTGTGGCGCCTTTTGGAGAGGAACGACTTCGTTCTGGCAGACGTCTTCCTGAGCCCGAAACCTGGGGTTGGTCAGAGGCAGAAAATGTCGTGTTTCTGATATTCCCAGCACATCGTAGGCTGATTCCGCAGACCATCATGGTTATTCCCCTAGAATAAATAAACGGCGTCAAGAAGCTGTTCTCTGATTTCTCCTGAACAAACATTTCCAGTAAGAACAACGCAGGAGGATTTGATAACAACCCCTTTCATTCTGGGCTCCAGCATCCCACTGCCTCCGACAAAGTGTGCTTGTAATTCCTAGCAGACTTCTCCAAGAGATAATTAGGGTTTCATTTGTCTGTTTGTTTAGCTTCTGGTCTGATGTGCTTGCATAGACTAACAGGGCCATTACTTAGAAAATTAAAACTCGAGTTATGGGATCGCTTTCTTTCATGGCATGATTGTATATCTGCTTTGGGATTCCCATCTTACCAGGCGCTTTCTTATTTGGGGCAGTTTAAAAATGGTGAGGGGCAAACCAGACAGATGCCTGTTGGCTGGAGAGGCAGTTCAAAGCGGAGTTGGGAGGTCTTGGGTGTGGGCTCTAATTCAAATGTTGACCAGCCAGCTCTTGTTTCTCTTTAGGGATCTGGGCGAGGAAAATTTAAACTCTGGGGTTTAATCTGGCCTTTGTATGGTTTGGCCCTTTGGGACTCCTTAGGCCACCATCCTCCCTTCCCTGTGACGCCACCGGTTTCCAAACATTTGTATGGGTTTATTCACCCATAGAGTCTTAAAATATGCTGGTCCTTTTGACCCTAGCCTTTTACTTTTGGTCCCATCCTGCACTATTAAACTGTGTTCCCAGAGGTCTCCTCCAAAACTGAAGTTTCACCAGGAAGCTTGCTGGGTGGTCATGGCCCAGTCAAGGTTTTTTCAACATAAATTGTCTCACAAAGATGTCACGAAGATAAAAGAGAAGTAGGAGAACATATATGTACTACCTGTAGTTACTGTATGCTAGTGGGATGAAAATGAAAACAAAAACCACTTTGCATAGAATGATACCTGTAACTGTAGTGTGTTCGCGTCCAGCCAGGGTATAGAATAGCCATTTTGCTTCTGTTGTAGTTGAGCTACTCTTGAAACATTAAGTTAGTAAAATTCACCATAACAAAGTCCATAACTATACTGATCCACTTTTATTAGCATGCCTGATGACACAAATAATAAAAAAATGACTGTGTAATCAAGTTCAGAGTGACAGAATCCAAGATTGGGTAACATTCGTATTGAATCCTTAAAAAGTCACAACTGAGATGAGCATTCAAGTTCTTCAGAACTTGAGGTAGCTTTTCCTCCTATAAACAGGAAGTTGTGTTTAATACCATGCTTATTTATTATGGACTTATTGACACTTGCCCATACTTGAGAAAAGATCTTTTGGTTGAATTCACTTCCTGGATTTCTCGGAAAGATATTTTCTGGCTAGCCTCCACTTCCCCTTTCTCTTTGAGGATTGAGATTAATGTGGCTTCCTTTCACCTACCTTGTGATGAAAAATAGAGTACACCTCCTATTCTGCTTTCGGTTATGAGGATGTTGCTCATTTGTTAAATATAGTAGCCTAGGTGGTTTCATGGTTTGCCCTGATCAGATGAGTAATCCATGTCTGATCCATTCTTTCTTGTCTAAACCACTTGGCTTATAAAATTTCTTTATAAATAAGAAAACGCTCACAGGTTTTACCATGATAACACGGTATTGTAATTCCAGTAATGACATGCAGTAGTTACATTGCTCATTTGCATTACGGTCTTATCTGTACAGCTATTCCCCCTTCTTCCTTTCTTCCCAACAATTATTGTGCCTCTTGTTATGCACAAGAGGTCTTGGGTTTGTGCATTAGGAACATTGGCTGCAACTACACTTGCAGAAACGGTCAAAGTCACCACAAAGAAACGGTGGTCATTTCACTTGCTGCAAAGCCTTGGTGCAGTTGTAAGAAGGCTACCTTGGCGCCATATCTACGCCACACCAGAGCTTCCATCCTGATCAGCCACTGCTGGGAGGTTTCCCACCTATTAAGGGCACTAAGATTGAGGCTCATGCAGCAAAACCAGAGCTGTTGGATCTGCCCCGAGGCAAGAACACCAACAGAAACATTCCTCTTGGTGGGGTTGGGGCAGCTCCAGGGGCTCCTCCCCCTTCCCCCCAGCCTGCAGATTAGGTATGACTCCATGTCCTGCTTTAATGCAAAGATGCACATTAAAATAGGATGTGTGAAACAAGCAGGTTCATGCCTGTGTTCAGACAACCCACAGTAAAAAAAAAAAAATTGTGGGCCATCTGAAATGTGTAGTTCCTGCCATTGTTAACATGTATACCATACGTTTTACTAGTTATACCTGCTTTTTTCAGTTGCGAGGAACATGATAAAACAAATAACTTTAAAATAGCATAAAATAACACCCTGGTTAAAAGCAGCTGGTTCAGCAGCAAATAAAACAATGTACATATAGGGGAACAATGAAAAGCTGCAGAGAAAGCAGCAGGTGCACTGTAAAGCAAACCTAGTGCTTATGGAAAGAAAGAGAGAGAGAGAGAAAGTAAGTAAGTTTTCACTTGGGAGGATAAGATTAGATTTTTCAGCCTGCGTACCAGAATGACCTGCCCTGATGACTTGCATGGGGGGGGGGGGGAGAGAAAGAGAGTGTGTGTTCAGCATTATTTAAGCATTACTAGATGTTTAACTGCCAACCTAGCAGTTCGAAAGCATGCAAATGCGAGTAGATAAATAGGGACCAACTCGGTGGGAAGGTAACGGCGTTCCATGTCTAGTCGCGCTGGCCACGTGACCACGGAAGATTGTCTTCGGACAAAACGCTGGCTCTACGGCTTGGAAACGGGGATGAGCACCACGCCCTAGAGTTGGACACGACTGGACTAAATGTCAAGGGGAACCTTTACTTAGATGTTTAATTGTTCTCTTCTGTGCTTCTTAAGAACCCTTCCTTATCTGGTAAACATGATAAACAAGTGAGGTCATTTAACTTGTAAGTGTCATCTTCGAGACTGAAACCTAAGGGCCAGTTTTGAAACACCAGTAAGAAATGCTTAATGGAGAAGCAATGGCACTAGTAGGAAATAAAGACAGGAACATTCAGAGTCTATGAAGACAAATAGCTTTTCCCTTCCTGTCCCTAATGATGAAATCATAAACTGCCCCTTCTAATTACAAATATTGATACGCTGTCATTTATTTGTTTGTTTGTTTATTATTTGAATTTATATCCCACACCATCTAGCAACCAGGCCACTCTGGGCGGCTAATAGCAATATAAGGAATAATATTAAAAATGATAAAATGATAAAAATAAATTAATACATGATCATGGCAGAAGAACTGCAATAGTAATTTGTAATAGTAAGAGGGAATTCACATTGCTGCCATTAAATATGGACATTATTTCTGAGTCTTGATTGGAATGGTGTAGGGGCTCCAGCCTATCTGAGTAGGCCAAAGGGCTTGCTTACAGTAAACTTGCTTGTGAAGTCTGCCAGGAGATGTAAGCGGTCTCATCTGGCCATGCTGTGGGGCAGCATTCTCATGGCATTGTGAGGCAAAACAGAGTGACTTCAACAGATCAGGTCTGTAATTTTAGATCTTGGCTTGTGTTTCCTAAGAAAAGTTTAAACGTTTTAAATTTTAAGTCATTCTAATTAAGATATCGCAGGGATCTACTGTGGCCTTAAAACAGGAAGTAGATGGTCTTGTGTTGCTTCTTTTGGTGCACAAAAGCAAAGGGAAGTGTGTGTGTTGTGTGTGTCCAAAGTTTGTTCTCTTAGACGAGACAGCATGAGAAATCATTTGATGTCACAGAGGAACTGATACAAATGCAGGAGTAGGTGCTACCTTTAATCAACCAGAGAGAGAGAGAGAGAGAGGAGAGAGAGAGAGAGAGAGAGAGAGAGAGAAATAGTGAGCTTTCAATGATAAATAATCTTCTTCAAGGCTGTGCATCATGTTCTTGTGGGCAGTTCCAAACTGATGTGCTATTTATTAATGTCCCAGATTCGCATGGGTGATGGTGTAGAAGCCAGGCAAACTTCTTATATGGAAACAGCTGCAGCATATATGTTGGTTTCAAGCTCTGCTTCAGCTAGTAATTTGGAATTTATGGCCCATCTCTTAAAACAGAGGACAGTCACAGGCAGTCTGGCCCCCACCCTCCCTCTCCATTTCTGCCTTTTTGAAACTCGGAGAGTTTCTCTTTAGCTGGGGGAGGGAAGGCTGCCCAGTTAATATGGCCTGTCTCTAACAGAGATGGGATTGGAATTAATGAAACCAAAGGAATTAATGTATGTGATCACATGTTACTGCCCTGTGTTCATAAGCAGCACACAGTAACAAAAGCGCTAGCAAAA